GCCGGTCCCGGTAACCACGGCCGGTGAGGGTGGGCTGGGGCCGGCCGTGGGGCGATGCTGCAGCAGGGGGGCACCGCAGGAAGCACCCAGAACCTGTTAGTGTTGGAGCCTCACTGCACCCCTGTCCCCTTTCATGAAACAGGAGTCCTGACTTTAAGGATTTCACGAATCTGAAGAGGCTTTGGCAAGAACAAAGCTTTGAACTCGGGGCACTGCCAAGATCGCTTACTGTGGAATCGAGCTTAAATGCAGTTTGATTCAATTTAAGTTGCGGGAATTATCTTAAAATGTACTACATTACCAAGCCGGGCATGCCGTAAACATGAGCCAAAGCACTCACTTAGTTCTGGAGTTTCTATAGAAAGAAAACTGAAGTTGGACGCGGACGAAGGAGGAATGGAAGCAGCTTCCCAGGGACAGGACAGTGCACGCTGTCCCTCAGGCTTGCTGGCACAATGACTTCCCCACCATCTCCACAGTTTGCTGTAGGTTTCCCTCCTCCGGCGCTGGGTGCGGGGAGTAAGGATGGATTCCACATCCATATGAAATGGTATTTCCCAGGATTAAGGGTTCTTTCAGGGGTTTATTTTTATCTCCCCGGTGCAGCAGCACAAGTAGGCAGCACCCACCGCTGCTTTGCTGAAGCCATTAATTAACACATGGTGATGGACCCCCAACCCGGGGATGAGCCACCCGGCGCAGGACTGACAGCAGCTCTTGTCTGCCAGCGAATTACCAGGGAAGACATTTCTTCTTCTGGAAGGCAACATGACTCTCTCGCCACGTAACACTGATCGGGTTAGATGGAGCATATTGTATTTTTCATGTATTAGATCTCTTGCTGCAGTTACTGCTTCGTAATATGTGGCTTGTCAAGTGAGAGCCAAAATCATCTCTGGTGCAACTCCCACCTGGGGACTGCGGGGAGCAATGCTGTCCCAGATGTAATCCTGCTCAGTGATAAAACATTTCCTAGGGCCAAATTCAAAATAGAAACGAGCCGTTCCGATGCCAGGGTCCATGCAGCAGCATTTTCTGCTCATGCAGTCCCTGAGCCTCCCAGCTCGAGCGTAGGCAGGACGGGAGCCGGCCCCGAGAGGCACTGGGGCAGTGGGATGGCTTGGGGGCCATTCCCCAGGGCTCTTCTGAGCTGCTTCTCCCACAGCCACGTCCCCGTGGAAAGGGCAGGCAAGAGCAGTCACCCACCTCCCCAGCCCACCCTGCACCCAGCGGGCTCTGCCCCTCGCAAGGGCTCCGGGGACCAGGCTCACCAGCCTGGTATGCTGCTGCATGTCTGATCATGAGCCATCTCTGCTCCCCGCAGGCCTGGACCGTGAATTTGGTTGCGATGGAGACCGTGTCCCTGGAGCACCAGATCCAGAGCGTGCAGCGGCACATTGCTTTTCTGAAGAAGGAGCAGATGGAGCTGCTCCATGACCTGCACCTGGAGATCCTCCGCTTACAGAAGCACTGCTCAGGTGAGTGCTGGGGAGGCTGCAGCATGTGGGAGCTGCATGCCCATGGAGCACGTTGGGCAGGAAAGCTCCTGCTGGCACCCCGGGTCCCAGGGCCGGTCCCGCACAGGAGCTCACGCTGG